TTGGTTACCGCATCTCGCACATGGGTTGCTCACGTTGCCCAGAGTGCTCGAACGAGGACGCAAGAGTCGAGATTGAGTATAGCCATGCAACTGTAACTGCATACCCAGCGCAATGACTATACCCCATTGCATTAGCTAGCTCTACTTCAAGTAATATCAGTGAGTTGATAAAATTGGCTGATAATGTTTGGGAGCTTGTAAACAAAAGTGATATAGCTTCAGTTAATGATTTTCAAAATTCAAAAAGTGAAAATACAGTTATAGCTAATTTGGTTAACACCACTACTTTAATTTGTAAAAATTTTGAGAAACTTTCTTTAGAATTATGTGAAATGAGGAGGGAAATAAATCAAAATTATCGAGGTCATGGTCAATAGGTAGGAATCATTTTAGAAGCCCATTTAGATATCGATCAAAATCTCGCGACAATCCAAACTGGTTATGTAGATATCACTACAAAGATATCGCTAAAAAATGTGAACAACCATGTGCATTTTCGAAAAATAATAGTTCAACGTCGCCATTTTATATTTGATAAAGCTAACAAACTAAATTTCTTAATTGATAGTGGAGCAGAAATTTCGGTTCTTCCAGTTACTAAATTCTCGAATACAAGGAAATCTTCTGATATTATTTTAACAGCAGCTAATGGTTGAACTATTTCAACATACGGAAAAAAGCTTTTAAATATTAATTTGGGTTTGAGACGCGAGTTTCCGTTTACATTTTTGATAGCGGATATAGCGAAACCAATTATCGGTGCAGATTTTCTGTGTAAATACGGTCTCTTAATTGACATTAAATGCAAACGTTTAGTCGATCCAGAAACAAGTCTTTCGGTTAACACAATTTCATGTGTTTGTAACATTTCGCCTCCAAAGATTTCCGTAGTTGATAACAACTATACAAAATTATTGAAGGAATTTCCTTGTCTAATTGCTGAACCAGATTACTCGAAACCGGTTAAACATACTACGGTTCATAGATTTGTTACTGAAGGAAACCTTCCATTCTCTAAGCCAAGGCGATTAAATCCTATTAAATTCAAAGTGGCCAAAACCGAGTTCGATTTCTTAGTGAAGACAGGGATTTGTAGACCTTCAAATTCATGCGTAGCATCTCCACTTCATCTAGTTCCCAAAAAAGAATTAAATGATTGGCGTCCTTGTGGTGACTTTCGAAGACTAAACGTTGTGACTGTACCGGATCGTTACCCTTTACCTCATGTTCATGACTTTAACATGAATCTTAGAAATAAGAATATATTTTCGAAATTAGATTTGGTAAGAGCATACCACCAAATTCCAATGGCCGAAGAAGATATCTATAAGACTGCAATTACGACACCGGTATGTTTGAATTTATACGTATGCCTTTTGGACTTAGAAATTCAGCGCAAACTTTTCAAAGATTTATTAATGGAGTAGTTAGTGGTTTAGACTTTGTTTATGCATATATCGATGATCTATTAATCGCAAGTGAGAATGAGGAACAGCATTTTAAAGATCTTCAAGCAGTTTTCCAACGCTTAACAGAGTGCGGTTTAAATATAAAACCAAGTAAATGTACTTTTGGCGTTATAAGTATTGATTCTTTGGGCCTTACTCTACTCATAGCTTCTACAGTGGCCCCGAGGAAACAGTAGTTTTTAAGGTATAGTCCAACCTTTCACAATATCCGACCAAGGGCTTTATTAGCCCTAGTCTGAGACGCAATAATCTTTTAAAATTTGCGCCGTTTCATGGTGAAAGGCATTTGGTATCACGCTTTTAAACTAAAGCTTTCTTAATACTTACAGTACAAAAATTCTACCACTGATTCTACAAATTTTAATATACATAAATACGTATACCGGCTAATTTGGATCATTCATTTCAAAAATCGCATCAAAAAATTTTTAGAATTGTGAATTTTACCGTCATCCTCGGCCCTTTAAATTTGTCAGTGATATCCTAGGTGTTTAAAAAAGAAAGTGATCTAAGCTATTTTTATTTTTTGCTTTCGCGAAATAAATTTCGAAACTATGAATAACACGAATCCGAATCAAAATTCCACGGATATTTGGTAAATATTTTTCTATAGATTACACTGCTCACTATTAACTTTTGTGACAAACACGGTAATCGCAATTGCAGCTTGCACTTTAATTTGATATACAACTCAATTCTGTAGCTACACCAGATCGCCCTAACTAAGTCGTATGACTGAGCAATTATATATAGATTATTTTAAAATAATAAAAAAAATGTTTAACAAAATTTTTTGTCATTTTCCTATATTTGCAATTTTTATATTGTATGCATAAACATAAGTAAACTAGTATTTCTAGAAGTTGTGCCTGTTCAGTGAAGAAAAGGTTTATCCTTAACAGCGGTCGCCCCTCGACAGGCAATGGCAAACCTCCGAGTGTATTTCTGTAAAGAAAAACAGCGTAAAACTGTAAGTCCCTTCCATTTGTGTGACAACATCAAGGCGCCCCCCACAAATCGGAGGAGAAGCTCGGCCAAACACTAACATATTTGTAAGCGCCAATCTATTACACAAGGGAACAAAAATGGGAAACAATTTCGTTGCATCAAATGTTAAAGCTGTTTTGGATAGACTTTTTTATGCTGATTACGAATCCGTAAGTATAAAGTCTCCATCAGCTCTAGCTTTGAAAAAAAAACGAGGTCAAAGTGTCAAAAAATCGCGTTTTTTGCAATATTTTAGAAGCCATAGCAAAGAAACTAAAGGTGATATTATGCTTAAATTAAAGCTAGAAGTCTCGAGTACTATCTCTGAAAATACCATCCCTGCACGTTGAATTGATGGTCACTTATAGTAATCAGCATAAAAAAGTCTATCAAAATTAGCTTTAACATTTGATGCAACAAAATCACTGTTCCCTTGTGTTATTATTATTTTTAAAAGAACCTAAACAATTTGTTCTAACAAATTGTTTCTTAAAATCTACCTACGAGATGGATTTTTCGTATTGTACATATTGGAAAAATTCATGGAAAATTTGCTAAGTCCAACAAAAAAAATTTAAGAAAAAAGTAGAAAATTTGCTAAGTTACAAAATTATCTACAAAATTTGTCAAAAAGCAGAATTTTTTACTTTTTTTTTAATAAAGGGTAAATGAAAAACGCGAAACATTGCATTCAAAGTTTTGCAAAATACTTAAAGAAAATTACTTAGCAACGTTTTTTGTGTCTCCTGTACAATTGAAAAAATGGGCTTAGCAACTTTGCACTCTAAGCTAGCGATATAGTACTTTTGACAGGGAATTATTAGCAATTTATTTAAACATTGAACATTTTCGGTATCTTTTGGAAGGACGACAATTTACTGTTTTTGCTCTAAATTCCAAAAATGAACGTAGTCCAAGACAAACAAGACATCTCGAGTTTATTGCACAGTTTACTAGTGACATACAGTATATTAAGGGACAGGCTAACATTGTAGCTGACACGTTATCTCGTGTGTTTGAAGTAGATGCGTTTAAGAATTCGGAACTTAATTTCAAAACTTTACAAAATGAACAGCAACAGGACAATGAACTCGATAAAATTATTTTGGAGCAAAAATTTCAAAATCTTAATTTAGCTAAAATTCCTGTTCTGAATTTTAATATTTGGTGTGAAATTTCAGGAGAAAATCTTAGGCCTTTTGTTCCAAGCAGTTTACGTAGAACAGTGTTTGATATATTACATGGAATTTCTCACCCTGGTACCAAGGCTACACGCCGATTAATTGTTAATAAGTATTATTGGCCTAATATGAACAAGGAAATAAACATATGGTCAAAAGGATGCATAAGTTGTCAGAAATCTAAAGTTTATCGTCACACAAAATCTCCTGTAAGCACAATTCCAATTCCAAAGAGTAGATTTGAACACATACATTTGGATATTGTTGGACCGCTTCCTGTTTCAAAAGGTTATCGCTACATTTTAACACTTATTGATCGATTTACACGTTGGCCGGAAGCATATGCTTTAAAGGATATTTCTGCACAGACAGTAGCAAATAAATTTATTACTGAGTATGTATCGCGTTTTGGTGTACCTTTAGAAATTACGACGGATCAAGGCACTCAATTTACATCAAAATTATTTTCGGAACTAACTAAATTGCTTGGAAGTCACCATATCACAACGTCTTCCTATCATCCTCAGGGTAATGGTATGGTGGAACGTTTCCATAGACAATTAAAATCCTCAATTTTGGCTAGAAATGGAACTAGAGATTGGTACAATGAGCTACCGATAATTCTTCTAGGTTTACCATCGGTGTACAAAGAAGATATTGCAGCCACTCCAGCTGAAATGATGTTTGGTCAAAATTTGCGTCTACCTGGAGAACTTGTTATGCCAACTACAGAAAATGTAACTTCGACCGAAATTTTAAGTAGTTTACGAGAATGTTTTAAAAATGTAAATTCAAATTTAAAACATCATAAAGAATTTGATTCAGGAATTTATGTTCCAAAAGATTTACAAACGTGTAAATTTGTTTTCATTCGCATCGTTAACAAGCATTCTCTTCAACATCCGTATGAAGGACCTTACAGAGTTATTGAAAAAGATAAGAAATATTTCAAGGTAGATGTAAATAACGAAATTAAAGCTATTTCGATTGACAGATTAAAGCCAGCGGTAGTTGAAAGAACACAATCACATAACACTAACAATCACACATTTTCAACAACGACTAAAAAGAAACAAGTTACTTTTAATTTATATCATAATGATTCTCTGGAAGGGGGAGTATTGTAGGGTTCATACTTTTTATTATACTTGCTTCATTTTTTAACTTTGTTAATTTTGAAAATTTTTGATTTAAGTTATTTTT